GAGAGAGCGCAAAACTAGAACTCCCAGTTTCTGAGTTTAGCCTGGTGCCTTGACCGCTAAGACCTTTGCAATAGAAAGAGAGAGAAAGAGGGTGAAAATGAGAATCTTAGAATGCCAGGGCTGGAAGGGGATCCTGGAGATCTTCTAGCCAACCCCCTGCCTTATACCATCCCAGACAAATGAATGTCTAATCTGTTCTTAGCTTTAAGAGGGCAGCGGGTGCCTCCTTCCAGGGGAGGGGGAAGAATGCTGGGGGTGGTCCCAACCTCCTTAGCAGGGGTGGGGTCTCCAGGGCAGGTGGATCCCAAAAGACCTCCCCCCCCCCACCCAAGTGCTCTAGTGCTGACTGTGCCTGGCTGGATGTGGGAATCCGCTTCCTTTGACCCATTTCCCCCTTTGCTGCAAGCTCTGGATTTCTTCCTCCTCCTCCTCCTCCTCCTTTATTATTATTTTTTATACACGATGCTTTTTTCTTTCTTTTTGTAAAAATGGGACAGCACATTTTCCTAACGGCTCGTTTTACATCCCGATCACTTCTCTGTCCTCTGGTCAAGCCATCCGTGCGTTGTTGGTCTTTTCCGAGGTCCGTTGGGATCTTGTAGCTTTAAGAGGGGTGGGCTTGGATTCCCAGAATTCAAAGCCGGCTGAGGAATTCTGGGAGTTGAAGTCCACAAGTCTTCAAAGTTGCCAATGTTGGAGACTTCTGGGAATTCTGGGAATTGAAGTCCACCCATCTTAAAGTTGTCAACTTTGGGGGGGGAATAAAACAGATGTAGACTGGGGGGGGAGGGGGAGTTTTTTGGCTTGGCTCCAAAATCCCTTTTCTTGCCTCTCTCTTGCATCCCTTCCCACTTAGTTTCCCAAATCCCGTGGGATACGTCGAAAGGAGGATTAAGTGCACGGAAGCAAAATCCGGGGCAAGCCAAGTGATTTTGCTGTCCTCAGGTGCAAGCAGGGGGATGCTTGGAGCAGAAGGTGCTAGTCCTCAGTGAGGAAATGCCCCGGGGTGGGCTGCTTACTGGTTCATCCCAGTTTGAGCGAACCGGTAGTTTAATTTTATGGCTGGTTCGGTGAACTGGCAAATCCCACCCCTGTCTGACCCTGCCCACTCCGCCAGGAGCCCCCACGCCCTCCGAGCCCCTTTGGGTTTCCACCTGGAGAAGGAGCGAGCCCCTAAAAACGAACTTTTCTCATTTCGGTAGCATGCGGATGTTTCCACCCAGCCCCTTTGGGGCATCAAACCACCATCCAAAGCAGTGTTTTGGCCATCATGGCAGTCGGGGGGGGGGGCTTAGTCCCCCGAGCCCCTTCCCTTCTTCTCCCGGAGCCTCAGTTTGGGGAAACGGTTCCGGTCTGCTTGTAATCTGGTTGTTCTGACGGAGGCTCCCCAAGATCATGAAGCCGACTCCTCGTCCCGATAAAACCCCTTTGATTCAGGTCAAAGTGAATTCCTCTCCAGCAAAATCCCGGCCAACCGTCTTTCATGAGATTTCACAACTACAGACCTTGATCAGGCAGGGAGAGTTACCAGGCCCATAGCTTCCAAACGCGACACTGTGACAGCAACGACTTGGCAAGGAGTCAGGAGCAGATCTTCACCCTAATGAATGGAACTAATTGGCAACTCCTGCAAACCCCACTGCCCTTTCGCTCCCTTTATTCCTTCTGGGAGGGGCCATTCACTGTCGACCTGAGCCTTTACTCCCGAGTTGACCCTTGTTCCTTAACTTTTCCCTTCCTCTGGCAGCTCTGTGCATGCGCACACTGGGAGCAGGCTCCAGCTGTTCTTCTTCCCCACTGATCTCCGACTCTGAAGGCAGCTGATAACTGTCGGACGGCCCCATCTCTGCCTCCGATGCAGAGCCTTCCCCAGACCCCAGGACTGGCTTCTTTCTCTCTCTCTCTCTTTCTCTTTCTCTCTTCATTTTAGTCTTCCTAATCACAGCAACTGGAGGTCATCTAGTCCAGCCCCCTGCCCAAGCAGGAGACCCTAGACCATTCCAGACAGGTGGCTGCCCAATCTCTTCTTAAAATCATCCAGGGATGGAAGCACCCACAACTTCTGGAGGAAAGTTGTTCCATTCCTCTGTTTCTCTCCCTCTTCAGATCACAGAGGTGGAAGGGTCCTTGGAGGTCATCTAGTCCAACCCCCACCCAAGACCCTACGCCATTTCTGACAGAGGGCAGCCCAATCTCTTCTTGAAAGCTTCCCACGACTTCTGGAGGCAACCTTCTGTGTGATGGATTGATTGCTCTCAATATCAGAAGATGCCTCCTTATTTCCAGGTTGACTCTCTCCTTGTCCCGTTTCCATCCATTGCTTCTTGGCCTGCCTTCCGGTGCTTTGGAGACTAGCTTGACGACCCCCTTCCCCTTTTTGGCAGCCCCTCAAACCCTGGAGTACCTAGTCCTTCTTTTCTCTCCAGTGGCCGTACCCAAACCTTCCAACCTTTCTTCATATGTTTGAGAAGACTAGATCGTTGATCCTGAGGACTGACCCAGATTGGATCCTGCAGCGTTATGCTGGGACACGCCTATCCGCCTTCCCTCATATTTTCAATATTCGGCAAAAATCAAGAACACGGAAAGCCTGCTTTCCACTCAGCTCCAAGCAAAAGCTCTCCGGAGTAAAATACCGCCTTATTCCCACCCCTAATATACGGCATTTAAAGGTCTAAGTCCCCCCCTTTTTCCCTTCTGCCCACTGGGCCGTGCATATCCAGTTCCTCCAATCCCTCCGGATAGGTTTTCTCCCTCAGACCTCCGACCGGTTTTTGTGGCTGGTCTCTGGACTCGCTCAATCTTATCGATTGACCCCCCCCCTTTTTTTTTTTTTTAATCAGCGAGGTCTCCAGATCTGGACAGGGTATTCCAAATGGGGCCTGGCCAAAGCCCTACACAGCGGGATTAGGGGTTTTCCTAATCCCTTTTCCTGCTGCTCACCCCTCTAGACCAGTGGTTGCCGACCAGTGGGCTAGGGATCACTGGTGGTCCGTGAGAAAATTTGGGTGGTTTGCAGAGAAATGTCATCCCCAAAGCAATGAATCCAGGCTACGCGGGAACACAAGGCTGTGCCGCTTGCATTGTGAACAACACGAGAGAGTGGGGGGAGGGGGGAAAGGGGGGAAGGGGGAACTTGCTCCACTCGCCCCCCGCACCTGGCCTGGCCACCGGGCTGCTTCTTTCCGCTTCTTTCTTCTTCTGCTTTTGGCTGCACGCAAGGAAAGCAGCCAAAGTCTTCCTTTCTCTCCCCCAAACTCCGCCAGAAATGAGTCTTGGGGACCCTGCAAGGCCTCCTGCTCCAAGAGGCTGCGCCGGCAAAGACTCCTTTCTGGCAGAGTTTGCGGGAGAGAAAGAAAGACTTCTGCGGCTTCTGCTGCTTTCCTTGCATGAAGCCCAAAGTCTCTCTCTCTCTCTCCCCCTGAGAATAGAGTTGGAGACGGTATCCTGCGATCCCAAATAAAGAACGATCGATTGGAAGGAAAACGGGGTGGGGGATTTTCCTGAAGAATTTTTTGGGGGATTTTCCCAGGGAATTTTTAAATCTGGGATTTAAAATTAGGAGTTTGATGCTCCCTGAGGTCCAAAAGGTTGGTGACCCCTAGACTAGTGAAGCATCCCAGCATTTTGTGTGCCTTCAGAGCTGCCTGCCTCATCGTTCGCTTGTTCTGGAGTCATTTTTCTCCCAAATCCTCTTCGGATGTTCTCCTCTTGCACTCCCAACTCTACTCCACGTAGTCCTTGACTTAACGACCATTCGTTTAGGGACCGAAGTTACAGCAGCACCGAAAATCAGGACTTACGACTGGTTTTTTTTCACACTTAACGACCATTGCAACATGCAATCCAAATCCAACCGCTTGGCAACTGACTTATACTTATGACGGTTGCAGTGTGTCCCGAGGTCAAGCAATCCCCTTTTGCGACCCCCCCAGACGAGCAAGATCAAAGGGGAAGCCAGATTCACTTAATGACCGGGCTACTAACTTATGAACTGCAGCGATTCACTTAGCAACGGTGGCAAGGAAGATTGCAAAGGGGAACAAACTCATTTAACCCATGTCTCACTTAGCGACTGGGCGTCATCAGTTGAGGACTACCTGCATGCCAGAGGATTGTTTTGTCCTGTGTTCCTGGGCCTTTTTGGTCAGGAATCCCACATCTTCCCTTGCCGACATGGACAAACGGGGGGAAGAATAAATGCTCCCACCCCAGCAAAAGACCCTTTCAGAAGATGATTTTCTTGGGGGGGGGGGGAATTGACTTTTTCCCCCAAACAATCTTGGTCTCAGGCGGTGTGGCAGGCTTGGTATACTTGAAAAAGCTTAAATTGCACGTGAAAATGCAGGTTTCCTGACCAGGTGGGGAGGCAAAAACCAGCACGTCTTTCTCTCTTCGTCTTTTTGTTCTGTGTTTTTCATTCTGTCTCCATGGAAGGTGTTTTATTTTAATCGCTTGGTGTCTCTGTTCGTCTTCAGGGCTGGGTTTTGATCGACTCCATCTCGGCCATTTGTTTGGGGAGCTTCCTTACTTACAGATTAAGAGTTGGAAGGGACGTTGTAGGTCATCCAGTCCAACCGCCGCCCCCTCCCCAGCATGAGACCCTACACCATTTCTGATAGATGGCAGTCCAGTCTCTTCTTGGAAGCCTCCAGGGATGAAGCTCCCACAGCTTCTCCCTTCCTTCCTTCCTTCCTTCCTTTCCTTCCTTCCTTCCTTCCTTCCTT